GAGACAATTGAAGTTTTCATAACATGATTTTGCAACATCTCATGCCTCGTTGCTTCCGTTAACAAAGAAAATTTTGCTGCTGCTGTGGTAGTTGTTGTTTTTAATTCATTTGCTATAATAATACAGTCATACTTGCCGTCACAAACACCAAGCGGGTTGAAGAGGCTAAGGAACGAAGAGCTGGAGGTATTGAGAGGGAACGGTGTGGGAGAGCGTAAGTCATTTGAGAGGATATATGATTACGATGTTTACAACGACCTCGGCAACCCTGATTCCGATCCGAATAAAAAAAGACCCGTGCTTGGTGGTAATAAAGAATTACCTTATCCTAGACGGTGTCGGACAGGTCGTCCACGCTGTAAAACAGGTAATCAACTCGATTATTGATATTATGTTAATATTAATATTTACATATGACATTACACTCAATATGTATCAAGGGAGCTTGCGCGAGGTAATCGTTTCCGTAAAAATTTTAAATTTATATTATTGATAATTTATTTTCACTTCTTAAAATTTTATAAGTTCGACCTCTAACATAAAATTTTATGTCTATTCTGTTCTTGAATTTACGCTTAAATTATTTTATTTGATAATAAATTTCATATCAATTGCTAATTATTTTTTATAAAGTTTTGTGTTAATTAACAATTTAAAATTGATTAGTTGTGTTTGAAAAATTTAATTGTAAAAATGAAGTTTTAAAAAAATAAAAAATTATATAATTATAGAGATAATAATAATAACTTATACTTTTTTAATAATATTTAGCGATCAAAAACTTTTTAAAATTTATTCTCGATAACCAATTACCATTATTATTATTATTATTATTATTATTATTATTTGTGGGATAAAATTATATTATTATCAAAGTAACTAAGTAAAATAATAATTGCAGATCCTAATTCGGAGACAAAGACCAACATATTTTACGTGCCAAGGGATGAGAGCTTCTCGGAGGTGAAACAAAATGACGTTCTCGGCAAAGACGTTGTACTCGGTGTTTCATGCGGTGGTCCCATCGCTGCAGACGGCGATTGTAGACAAGGATCTTGGATTCCCATACTTCACGGCCATCGATCAGTTGTTCAATGAGGGGATTCGCTTGCCTAACATGGACGGACAAAATTTGTGGAAAACAGTTCTCCCTAGACTACTCAAGGTCATTTCTGACAACAATGCCTTGCGCTTTGAAACGCCTGAGACTATGAATCGTGAGCTCATCTCTCTCTCAAATCACATAAATCAACTCTCTAATTCAGTTAATTTATTTTAGTTTTGTTGACATTATTTAATCAATTGCTAATTCTCTTTTTTTGTTTTAATTTTTTGAAGGTGACAAATTCTTCTGGTTTAGGGATGAGGAATTTGCTCGACAAACCCTTGCCGGGATCAATCCATATGCTCTTCGTTTGGTCACGGTATGATATTTACTAAATACTGAAAAAAAGTTTCAAATTCTACCTAATTCTCGACTGATAGTCCCCACCCCCCAACACGAAAAAAAAAACTATAGGAGTGGCCATTGAAGAGCAATCTTGATCCAGAAATCTATGGAGATCCGGTATCTGCTATCACCAAAGAGTTGGTGGAGCGTCAAATCAGAGGATACATGACAGTAGAAGAGGTACCAAAGTAGTCCATATCTTCATTCAAAAGTTAACACACAGAGAAACATTATTTTTTGAATGAGTAATTATATTGTGTATATATTTGTAGGCAGTGAAACAAAAAAAGTTGTTCGTCCTGGATTACCATGACTTGTTACTACCATATGTGAAGAAAGTGAGAGAGCTTCCAGGGACAACATTATATGGGTCACGATCACTATTTTTCCTAGGTCCTGATGAGACCCTGAGGCCAGTGGCCATCGAGCTAACTCGACCGCCTATGGATGGGAAGCCACAGTGGAGGGATGTACATACGCCGGCTTGGCATAGTTCTGGTGTCTGGCTTTGGAGGCTTGCAAAAGCTCATGTACTTGCTCACGATTCGGGTTATCATCAGCTTGTTAGTCACTGGTACGTATTTTGAATCCTGCAATAATACAAAGTTTCTCATAACTCTGTCTGATGAATTCGAGTTACAAGTAACCTTGTAATTTGTATTGCAGGTTAAGAACACACTGTTGTACCGAACCTTACATAATTGCCACTAATCGACAACTCAGTGAAATGCATCCAATCTACAGATTGCTCCATCCCCATTTCCGTTACACAATGGAAATAAATGCACTAGCTCGAGAGTATCTTATCAGTGCAGATGGGATCATCGAGTCCTCCTTCAGCCCTGGCAAGTACTCTATCGAGCTTAGTTCTGTTGCTTATGACCTTCAATGGCGATTTGATCATCAAGCGTTACCTGCAGACTTGATTAGCAGGTATTGTCATTGGTTTTCAAGATATATATTCTTTGAAATTTTCGTAGACATTAAATATTCACAATTTTCTTCCTTTCTAGGGGGTTGGCTGTTGAAGATCCTGAAGCTCCTCATGGCCTGAGGTTAGCGATCAAGGATTACCCTCTTGCCAACGATGGACTTGCTCTCTGGGATATTCTCAAAGAATGGTTTTCTGATTATGTGAACCACTACTATCCGGATGCAAGTCTAGTGCAGTCGGATGAAGAACTTCAGGCATGGTGGACAGAAATTCGTGAGGTCGGGCACGCTGACAAGAAAGATGAACCATGGTGGCCTGTCCTCAAACACCAGAAGACTTGATCCAGATCGTTACAACCATCGCTTGGGTAACCTCGGGTCATCATGCATCCGTCAACTTTGGACAATATACATATTCCGGTTACTTCCCCAATAGGCCAACAATTGCTAGAAAGAATATGCCAAGCGAAGAGGCAACCGAAAAAGACTGGGAACTCTTCATGAAGAAACCCGAAGCTTTACTCCTAAGGTGCTTCCCTTCACAGATTCAAGCTGCTACAGTGATGGCTATTTTGGATGTGTTATCGAATCATTCTCCAGATGAGGAGTACTTGGGAGAAAAGTCGGAGTTGGCTTGGGCTGACAATCCTGTGATCAAAGCAGCATTTGAAAAGTTTAATGGGAGGTTAATGGAGCTTGAAGGGATTATTGATGCAAGGAATGCAAACCCGGATTTGAAGAACAGAAATGGTGCCGGAATTGTTCCATATGAGTTTTTGAAGCCGTTCTCCGAGCCTGGGGTCACTGGGAAGGGAGTCCCATATAGCATCTCCATCTGAGGTTAATATCTCGAATTCTGTATTGTGAACATTATGGATGTTCATCTGCCTTATGGGTTATGGAGAAATAAAAAGGTTTACGGTACATGCTTATTTGAATTAACTTTGGCCTTTAAAAAAAGAATAAAAACTTGAAATAACTAAAGAACGACTTGAGGCTAGTCTTTATTTTTGAGCAACTGGGTTAGGCTTATGGCTAATTTTTCCTGCATCCAAAAATGAGGAGAACTTATACATTTCTTATTCCCCAAGAATGCTGCCGATTTGCTTGCAACTAAAGCCGGGCTTCTTGTGGATTTTCTTTTCTTTCATGACCTTTCTTACATTCTCCACAGCCTCTCCCATTCTCCATCAGCAGCATAAATATTCGAGAGTGTAACGAAACCACTCCGCCTTTTCAGTTCCATTTTAAGAATTTGTTCGCCCATCAGTTTTGCCAAATCTTTTCTCCCATGGACTTTACAACCATTGAAGAAAGCACCGACAATCGAGTCGGTAATTACAAATGGCATTTCCTTCACCAATTCGTAAGCTTCTACCGTTCTACGATCCTCCCGGCACGACACAACATATCAACAACACAAGCATAGTGTTCTTTCAATACCATATTAATCATTATTTATATTTAAAATAAATAAATATTCATTTTATTAAAGCATTTTAAAAACTTGCAGCAGAAATGGTACAACTTAACGTGAAAACACAGCTTATTTAATTTGTATTTTTCGTTACTGCTGAGATTTTTTTTAAGGATAAGCATAGCTAGGCAAGTACATAACATAGAGGGACCATTGAAGAAGAAAAACGAGACAAAAATGTGAAATTGGGACCAATGGAATAAGTATGGACCATTTCCGTAGACTAGAACAAGCACTTAGTGGACCACAATCACAATCGGATAATCAATCAACCCATGACGAGACAATTGAAGATTCATATGGTGTTGTATAACGTTTTCAATGAGCACTCGTAAATTTGTAAGAACCATTAATCTGTGACAGGTTTCTCTTGAAAGAGAATCGGCAACGGGCGAGGCGGGGTAAATTTGTTATACGTGTTGTTTGATTTTAGGGTAAATTATACTAAACATCATTAAATTTTAGATTGTAGGTTGTCATTAAATTATTTTGATTTTTCACATTAAAATCTATTTTGGGTTTAATTAAGATACTGAATTTTAAATCATTAAAATCGTTATAATCTGATAATTTTTTTTCTATATTTTTTAGTTTATATATCAATTTTATTATTAAACTTTAAAATATATCAAATTTAAATACTAATTTTTTATTTATATATTAATTTAGTCCACACATAAAATCGTTACCTCGTATTATCGTTTCAGATAAACAAATTCGTACTTTCTCCCCTGGATGAATAGTAAATTCTTAACATTTCTTTTTAAGATTAGAGTGTTTTTTTTATACATAAACTATACTGTTTTTGTGTATTTTTTAGTTAAATATGTTCCAAATTTAGCCTAAAAATAAGTTTAAAAAAAATCTGAGTTTTTTCTCGAACTTCACCGGAAAACACAAAATTAACTTAAGACAAAATGCAAATATAAAAACTAAACTCGATTTCCTGAAAAATCAATCCTCAGGAATCATTAAAAAAAACAAGGAAATTAATGAAAGCCAGTGTTTGAGTTTAGCGTTTATTTAAAATATCTATATATTTTTTTGAAGTTTAATATAACTAAATTATAACCTTTATGAACCTATATATATAAATAATTAAATACATTGGACTGATCTTCAGCTAGTGAGATTCCATGACTGATATCCTGTATGTGGTTCGGCTTTGAGTAGTGTTCCTCTTCCTCGTCTTTGTTGTTCCTTTCGAAGGTATCATGGGCGCGCATAAGCATGTGTAGGGGATCCTTCCTCCATGATCAACGCCCTTGTTTTAGTCTTTTGTCAATCTTCTTCTCCGTAGTTTCAGCTTTCCCATCTTCCTTATTCTCCACAAACATCCCCCAAGTACAATCCATCAAGGTAAGTTTCAGTTGACTACAATCACTTCCTACGTTGCAAATCTACATCCATCACTGTAACCTCCTTTTTACCTTCGCACGTACATTACGTTACTTTTACCTTCACTGCAATTCTTTTACATTACCGGCCATTTTAAAAAGTCTTCTCAATATTTCTAGTCTATGAAAACGTAAATGCAGCAACCATCAAACAGTAAGTATTTTCTGTTTGACATCATGTTAAAAAAATATTCCGAAGGTTTTAGTTAATTTCATCTTTATTCTTCTTTTTAAAGTGTTTTAATCCTAATGTTTTATTTTACGGTGAAAAGACTCTTTCGTAAATGAAAATGGTTTTTTATAATAGATATAGGATAAATACAATATAATATATGTTCAAAGATTCTCAACCATTTGACAATAAAAGCTCATATCCCTATATACGCAGTGCTCGAACCCGGAACCTCCATAGATAACAACAAATTCCCTCAATCAATAGGGTCGCTTGGTTCGTGCTAGTCAATAACACTCCAAACTATGAACTATTTAATCAAACATTAAGGGTTCTTTTTAATCATAAAATAAAACGTTATTGAGGGGTAAAATACTCGAAAAAATAAGGACTGAAATGATTATTTAATCAAACATCACGTATATTTTTTGACACGATGTAATTTTGTTTTAGAGACTACATTTAACATATAGTTAGCAGCATTCTGGATTATATATATATATATTTTGAAGTCCTCTGTTATATTTTGCAGCTAATCAAAGGGGAAGGAAAAAATAAACTAAAACTATTACTTATACGAATCGAAATGAAGATTGTTGGGTGTTATTTGATGATGAAGGGAATCAATGGGAAGGAAAGCACGCCTTTCCAAGAAGAAGAAAGAGTTGTTCGTTTCCTAGAACATCAAAATTAAGCATATGATCTTAAGATAAATTGTGGCTTTTTATACGATTTGAATGCTGAGCATGTATATTTATAGTTTTCTTTAAATTTTCAGTTTTTGGAAACAAAATTTCGTAGGTCGGAGATCAAAAGTTCATTTTTAGATTTTTAGAATTGAAAGAGAGATCGAGTACTGGGATAGACTCGTTATTTTATGTGAAATATAAAATTTTTAAAAAATATAAGGAATAAATGCCTTCATTCGCCCCAATCGAGAATATGTTTTCAGGCATTTCCACCTCTTTGTTTGATGACCTGTAACCCAAGGAAAGAAATCAGTAAATGATATATTACTTAACATTTCTAGTAAAATTAATGGGAATGAATAGAAAATCACAAAAGAGGAAAGATAACCATTGTATGAGTTGGATTTTCTTGACTGAAGTTCCACACATTTTGGAGATTTTTTAGAACGGATTATAAAATCTTTTATGTGAAATATAAAATTTTTAAAAAATATAAGGAATAAATGCCTTCATTCGCCCCAATCGAGAATATGTTTTCAGGCATTTCCACCTCTTTGTTTGATGACCTGTAACCCAAGGAAAGAAATCAGTAAATGATATATTACTTAACATTTCTAGTAAAATTAATGGGAATGAATAGAAAATCACAAAAGAGGAAAGATAACCATTGTATGAGTTGGATTTTCTTGACTGAAGTTCCACACATTTTGGAGATTTTTTAGAACGGATTATAAAATCTGGAAACACTACAACTTAAACAATATCGGAAGTAATTCTAATTACAAAATCCAGAAATACAACTTCACCAATCAATTCTCATTTCAAGTTTCTTCCTTTCCATGGTAAATTACTAAAGGGGTCTGAATTTGAAACAAAACAAAAAATGTAATTACGACCCAAACCCACCAATACTTCAATAGGACATATCAAAATCGAAGATACTCGCAAAAAAATGTCTATAATATGCCTGCAGAAGAACCCACCAACAAGATTCTATCAGAAGAAAGGTTTGCAGAAACCCAATTGCAGACAGCAATGACATCCTTGATCTCAGCAAAACCTGTGAGAGAAGCTCTTCCGGTCGATCTTCCAACACCCCTCATGTCAAAAGTAACAGCCCGGTAACCATTTTGAGCTAACCCAGTAGCAATCCCTTTCAAAAGAGCTTGACAACCACCCAAGATCGAGTATGGATGGACAAGGACTATGACTAAGTTGTTGTCTTTGATCTCTTCTTTTGGTTTGAAAACTCTTGCGCTCAGCTTCACTTTATCAGGCGTTTCAACAGTGGGATAATCCACTTTGCAGTTTGACATTTCTGGAGAGAGCTGAATGGAAAGATTGTGGAATAGAATTCCGGAAAGAGAAAACAAAAGAACAAAGTAAAATGCGGGTTTGTGATCTAAAAGAAACCATGAAAACTTAGATGGAGAGCTTTGATGGGAGAATTTGGGGATTTAATTGTCATTTGGGCGACTAAAAACATAACCCAACGGCCATCATCCAAATTTTTACTACGTTATTTTTTAAGGATAAAGTACTTATAATTCTTAACTATAACGTTGTATAAAATAATCTTCTTATTATAAATAATTGTTCCGTTGATTTTTTGAATATTAAAAGTTATAAAATAATCATTCAATTATTTATATATATTTTAAATTAGTCATTTTCGTTATAAACTAATTGACTATCTAAATTGAACGTTAACATGTTGATTGAGATAAAATAAAAATATGATCTCATAATCAATTGAGTTGTATTTTATAAGTCGACTATTCATTTACATTATACCATTGAATCAATGCTTAAAATATTATGTTGAGAAATTAGTGTTTGAAAGCAGCGACGGTAACGATAGACACCATTAAGATATAATTTTATCATATTTCAGTCAACATGTTGAAGTGTAATTCAGAAGCTCATAAACTTTTAACAGAAAATGATGAATTTAGAGCATATGAATAATCTGATAACTATTTTGTAACTTTTAATAGTCGATGAATTCAATAAAGCAACACTATAGTCGAAATACCATTTGTATATTTTTCTCTATTTCTTATTTTTTTAATAATATATGATAATTATAAGTTAGTATTTATTCAAATTTTCTAATACATTAATCGTGCATACATCATAACATAACGGTTTGAATTCAAATTTTATAAAGAATAATACCCTTTTACCTTTAAGAATTTAAGGTCACTTAATAAATTCATCACTTGTTAATTTTAAAAATAATTAATTAACAATAAAAAATAAGTCAAATTAATTTGTTATTAAAAAAGATATTAGGTTAATTAAATAAAAAATTTAAATAAAAGTATATCAATGACACAAATTTCAGACTACATATTCTTAAAAAATAAAATATTATTTTATATATTTTTTAAAATATTATTTTAAAATCTAAAATTTCGTAATTATTTAATTACATTTGATGATATGAGAATGAATAGAAGTTCATAGAAAAAATGTTCAAAATTACTGTGGAATCTTGCTCTCTGAACTTCTGTAATAACGCTATAAGTCGTAGCCCGTGAGCAGTCACGTGATCAGCAACACCACTAGTAATCTTTCCCTGTAATTTGGGGATTATTAAATTCACAATTTTCAGAATATCATCCATGTATCAGCCATTTTTAATTTAAAACTAGCTTCTTTTCGACCATTTTCCTCTCTCCTCCCCCGCGCATTCCCTTCTCCTCCCAACCCTAGCGTCCCCTTCTCTCAGTTTCTTTTTCTTCCTCTTAGATCTTGTTGCTCGCACAATGGACTTTGGTGGTGGACGCAAGAGAGTGAGGCCCGAGACTGCCTTGAACGGCAATGGTGGCTTCAAAAAATCCAAGCAAGGTGTGAATTTTCTGCTACTTATATGCATATCTTGTTTATATCTATGATTATATGACTGCTTGTGCTATATTTGTGATGGAATGGTTATTTCTAGGGTTTGAAGAACCTTTCTTCTGGCTTTTGTTTCCCCCTTTAATTTTGTAATCTTTCCCCTCACTTTCTTGAGGTGCAGAGGAAGTAGCAAGCTTCGAATTTGTGTAGTTTAGGAGTGTTTGATTACTTGGAAAGTACTAAAAGAGATTTGAATATTAAATTTACTTTTGGTAAATTGATATAAAATTTCTGGGAATGCACAAGGATAAATATAAATTGACTGATTTATGCTCTAGTTTAATTTAACTATGGAAACTTAATGAGTGGGAAAAGGGAAAAAAGCTTATAAAAAATAAAAGTGAAAAAGAAGACATTTTGAATTATGATTTTGCTTATTTATGTCACATTCAATCACAAACACACATTGTGGAGTTTTGAAACTCTACAAGCAGCTTTATGCTTGCTGCGTGGAGTTTTAGAAATCGATATAAAAGTGTTAAGTAAGCACATTATCTAGCATTTCGTAGAAGTGTAAACCCCCTGTTTTTGGTAATGCAATTATCTATTGCTTTGAGCATGGAATTAATTACACTATAATTGGTTTGTTGATTGTCACATTCGTTTAATAACATATGCTGTAGATATTTATGGTTTTAGTGACTAATTAAACTTGCTTGTAGACATTTGGAATCCTTTGCCAATTAAGTAGGGTATTGTCCACGGTCCATTGTGTTTCTTATCCCACTTAGTTTGGATTTCCTGAGCTTAAACGGTAGTGAGTCTGCATGTGATTGCTCTTTTGCTTTATCACTATTTGTATCATAGTGTTGTTGCATAGCTAGGTTTATATTGGTGATCGTGATGATCTATTTTGCTTCATCTCTTGTTCCTTTATCATTCTATTTTTTGGGTAAAAGATTGAGTGCATTCTACATTGATCCTTATTTCATTATGGTTAAGCTTTTTTACATCATTATAAGTGATGTCTTACTTTGTTTGTGAATCCAGTGCTTATATATATTGTACTGTTGCAATTTTATAGTCTTGATTTGTCATATATATCTTTGTATTTGAAAATTTGGAAAATTTCTCTTTCATGGTAATTCATGTAGAAGTTTTTGGGATTGATGTACGAAGCGAAGAGATATTTGTCTTAATTATGATTTCTCAACTGAAAATTGGGGGGGGGGGAGTGTTTTTCTCTGGAAACAAAAATAGAAAACATGTTGTTTGAATATCCTTTTCCCTTTATTTCCTTATTTGCTTGAAGTATTGCCTCAAACAGAACATTTTTAAAAGTCTTTTACTAGGTGTAGTTGCAAAGTTCTCAACCCACTATTCAATTAATTAATAAGCTTGATGGTTCTATTCTTAAAAATGATCTAAACCAATTATTCGTATTAGTTAAAGCACATATTTTCTTTTATAGTACTGATAAGAAATTGTAAAAGGGTACTAAATACTTTGTAAAGTTCAAAAATAAATTACTCTCTGAAATTATAACTGAGATAAATTAATTAATGTTCTGCAACAGAAATGGAGTCCTTTCCAACTGGTATAGGAAGCAAATCAAAGCCATGCACAAAGTTTTTCAGGTTCAAATCTTAACCTATCCAAAATAAATAGCCTAATGCACTTCCATCTTCTCTAAGTTATAAGTTGCGAGTAAACTTTTCCTTTGACGACAACCTTCTGAAGTAAACTTTATGCGATTATGACTAATTAATTGGTCACTTAAAGTGATGATTATACAGGTAATGCCCTCTGCTCTAATCATGATAAGAAAGATTATGGGATAAAAATGGTTGGTTGCTTGGTGAATTCTTGGACTAGCTACATGATGGACTATATTAAACATAAAGAGAGATAACAGTTTTCTGAGTATGTTTTGGTTGAAAATTCCTCATATTTATCACATGAAGATGCTTGAGAAATGATACAGAACTGCTGATGCTTGGTTCTGAACAATAATAACGGCGGTGTCATGTTCTCGGTGCTTGTTATTCAATGTAGTAATGCAGAAGATTGCTGTTGTGATTCTTGATGGTACAAGCAGTAACATTTACCTCATAGTATTGCATCAGCTGGTTTATGCATGAAGAGCTTGGATAGATTCCTAATTGTATCTCATAGACTGAACTAGTACTTGTATTATTGAATTAGCAAAACAGTAGTTTGTTGATAGTAGATTGACATTCTTGAATTTTGTTTATCTCACAGCACTTCTGGGTGCCAATTTGGTGAGAGCTGTCACTTCTTGCATTACGTTCCAGGTGGCATCAAAGCAGTGTCTCAGATGCTTGGTAACAACCCGGCTCTTCCTGCAGCTGGCAGAAATTCAGTAGCCCCACCATCCTTCCCTGACGGCTCATCTCCTCCAGCTGTAAAGACCCGTTTGTGCAGCAAATTCAGCACACCAGAAGGTTGCAAGTTTGGTGATAAATGCCATTTTGCTCATGGCGAGTGGGAGCTTGGCAAGCGGACTGGTCCTGCTTATGAGGATCCTCGTTCCATGGGAGCCGTGCCTGGAAGGATGGCCGGCAGGATGGAGCCTCCCTCACCTGGTTTTGGTGCTGCAGCCAGCTTCGGAGCATCTGCCACTGCCAAGATCAGCATTGATGCGTCACTTGCTGGAGCTATTATTGGGAAAAATGGTGTGAACTCAAAGCATATCTGTCGGGTTACAGGAGCCAAGCTTTCCATAAGGGAGAATGAGTCAGATCCTAGTTCAAGGAACATTGAGCTGGAGGGAACATTTGATCAGATCAAGCAAGCCAGCGCAATGGTTCATGAACTGATTTTAAATGTCGGCTCGGCCTATGGAAGTAGCATGAAGAATGCCGGTAAGAGTGGGTCCGGCTCAGGGAACAACTTTAAAACTAAGCTTTGCGAGAACTTTTCGAAAGGATCCTGCACCTTTGGTGAGAGGTGCCACTTTGCGCATGGAACTGAAGAATTGCGCCAGACAGGAATGTAAATTCCTAATGTTGTGTTGGGTAACAACTCTTGCTTTAGCCAATGGGTTATTTCGGTGTAGTCGATTATGCGTTTTTGTATTTTTTCCCGGGATGGAAAGGTAGCTTGGAGTGCAAGAATGTTCTTCTAGGGTTTTTTTTTCTTCTTATTTTTAATGATATATGAATGTATGCATGTACGGAATGGGCTCTGGAGGTACCCTAACTATTATGATTTTGTATGCATTGATTTACATCTCATTATTATGAAGAAAAGTACGTCATCGAACAATGTTTCTATTTTATTTTTTTCTCTCTTCTATTTATTGGAGGAAGGTAATATATGCGTCATTATTTGTGATATTTTCATTTTTTTTAACTTAACTATTTATTTGGGGATGATACTATATTCAATTTTTTTTATTCATAGTTTCAGCTGTTACATCAACTTTAATAGGATAAAACTAATTGAGATTTCTTTTGCATGTAAGAGCTTTTAACACAAGCTGGGTTTATATAATATCTAAGAATGTAGAATTTTATGAATAAATTAATTATCAATTGAAGATTTTCGTTGATATATTTTACTACATATTACAAGTACAGATATAAAATATATTTTTTAATAATACACAAATTTAGGCAAATAATACTTTTTTATAAAAAAATCCGTTATATTTTGTATTTTATAAAACAGTTTGAATTTTAGCAACGAAGAAAAAAATCACTACACTGATCTCATCTTTATTGGTCATTACTATTTAATAATTACAGTTCAAATTATAAGTTACAGATGAATCAGTATACCATGCGGCTTATTCTCTTTATTGTAATGTTTTTGCTGATGCGAATGGTCGGAATTAATTTTTTTTTTTGTAAAAAATATGTATATCTCCAAAGTCCGAAGAACTGATTTAAACGTGGATTATTTGCATTGTGGATATGTTGAAGACACACACCATGTCTTTCTCTCTTGTCTGTTTGCTGTCGAGTGTTGGCGAAGTTGGAGTCAACTTGATTTACTTTCGGACTTGCCCTTTGTGCGATGTTTAAATCTGTTAGTACAACATAATCCATTGAAGACTTCAGTTACAATAAACAAAAGTATTGCTCCTCCTAAAGGATTTAAGTTCGAGTAGTTGCGTCGTTAGGGTATATGTGCATTGTTAATAGGTTAAAAAATTCTGAACAAATACTCTCTTATAATCATCTCGTACTAATAAAAAAAAGTTTCTTCTCGCCAAGTGTAGATAATGCTCTCGCGCTTAGAGAGGCCATTCGTTGGCTGGTACAACACCGGATGGTTCATGCACAGCATAGCATTATCTATCATATGCATTCATATGTGTATATTCTTAGAGTAAACGAAAAGAACAAAATAAAGTTGCTTGCATATTGATATCTCAATAAAATGTTTTCATCACAACTGAAAGAGAGAGAAAAGTTCCAAAACAAAAAAGGAAATACTGGTTTTATAGAATCATTAATTATCCATTAGAGTTGGTATGTCTGCCTGCCTGCCTCTACCTCTACTCATTAGGGTTGGACTGTCGGCCTCTACCTCTATCCATCAGTGTTGGACCGTCGGCTTCTACCTCCGACTTCTTTTCCTTTCTTCTTCTCCTCTTCTTTCCTATACTTGATACCACATGCGTTGCAGAGAGTCTACAATTTAAATAAAAGTATGAGAAAATTACTCCATATGTTATTCAAAGTTCCACCATGCATACTGCAAATTCACTATAATTGAATTACATGGATTAATAAATAAACTTCAATAACAAAACTGAAGTTCCTTCATTTTTAGGAATTGATCTTCTTTTAGATGACCATGTCTTTCATTATTACTAAATCTAACTATCAATAAATGAATATACTTTCAAAGTTCCCATGTCTAATTTCTAATAAATATATATAAATTGGGAAATTTATGTGTACCTTGGGGCCGAGAGGTCCTTTACGCCACATAGGAGTATCGTTGGTGTTGCAGTTGTAGTTAGTGCAGCGCTTGAAAGGGTCGTTGTAGGTGCCAATACGCCAGGGGACCTGCCCGCCCAAACCTGAGCTGGAGGAGTTCCCGATCTCGAGATGATGCTGATTTGCGGCGGCTCTCCTTGGAGGGACATCAATCAGGGTGTAGGTATTCGGAGGCACCTCATGCGGAGGAGGAGGCGGCACAGGGAGAGGACGAGTAGGGGTGAAATTGTAGGGGGGAGAGTTGGTGGTGCCATAAGAACTAAACCCTATAGAAGGGCCTGAGAAAGGGTTAAATGCATTTGCATACTTCATGTTATGGGCACCGCTACCAAGTTGATTTGATGGCCATTCAAACTGAGCTTGGTTGCCATTGAAGCTTTGCTGACCTTCAACAATTGCTCCTTGGTTAACTAGTCCTTGCTGAATCATAAACCAGTTAATAATGTAAAAGAATAAATAAAAATCAAAAGACAAAAGATTAATTAGTCAAAGCTCAAGTGTATATTAGATTTTTAATAAATATTTCCTTTATCTTTTTCTCTTGTTCCTTGACTACCAAACATATTTCTACTTGTTTACTCGCTCAATCAATATGATATCAACGTTTAAAGTTAATGGCTAAATTAAAATATTTCTATTAATTTATAATTCTTGTATAAAATTTATAATTTTTAAGTTAAAAAGTATAACGCACAATAAAATTATTTTTATAATAACCATAAGCCTATCACCTTATTAACGAGACGACAAAAAATATATATCCAGCGTAGATTTTATTATTTCCTTATTAATTCAAAAAACCCAATTAATAATAAAACCGTTAAGCTTCGTTGGCATTTCCATTTTTTATGAATTTGACATAAAATAATAATATTAAAAAATTATTATAATTCCATATATATTTAATGAGTTTATATAAAACAATATAATCAATCAATAGAACAAATATAAAAATCCTACCATTTGTTTTTAAATAATGAAATAATTTATTTTGTTTTAGAAAAACCTTATAACCTTGTACCATTATACATGAAACTAACACACAAAAAGACTAGTGTGTATATAATTTATAGGAGAAAGGAATGGTGAGTAACCTGAGTATTATGATAGAGTGTCGCGTTTGGATGAAGATCAGACAAAGGTAGACCCAATGTGAGAGAGAGGTCAACCCTATTATCTTGCTGGTTTATTTCACCAGCTGCTCGATTGAATGTCCTTGAGTTATCCATGGATTCACTGTTTTTTCCTTCGACCAAGAACAAAATCAAATAACCAGATGGTCAAAGAGAGAGAATAAAGCAGAAGTGAATAGGTAGAGCAACAAGATGATCTGGAAGACTGACACACATGCAGGGATTGGTCGTACCTTTTAGGGGATAATAATTACAACGAAACAAAAACTAACAGTAAAAAAATATCGATTTGAAAATGGTTTTTTTTTCATAATATTTTATAATATAAAATCAATGTAATGATCCGATCTCGATCAATAATCAGTATGAGCTCCTACTGCCTTTTCTCTCTTTACACATACGAGAGAGGGGAGGGAGGGAGGAGACAAGCAAAGACAAAAAATATATATATATATATGAAAAAAAGAGACTTACAACTATGGAAGCCTAAGATGTTTTGATGCTCTGAAATATTTGTGATTAGAAAGGGAAGAAAAAACTCTTATATACATACATACATACAAGAAAATGGTCTCTATATGGAAGGTATATGTGAAATCCCTCCAAAATTATTTTTAATTTATTTTTTTAATTTTAATTACCTATCAGTATCCTATCAACTTAATGATCATTTGTTGCACCAGAAACCGTTAATTTTTAACTTAATTTAAAGAACTAGTTTAGTTTTTTATTTTATGTTTATTTACGCATATAAACTAATTATATTTCGATTGGATTATACAATTGTGATATATTTAGATACTCATCGTGATTGACGTGTATCACTGAATTATGTGTAATTGAAGTATCCACTTACTCTATTCAATTACAATAGAAAAAACACAATTAGTGATAACGATTTTCAAATTATTTTTATTTATTTATTAACAAACGAGTCTACAATTACATTTTATTAATCAAGTATATATAAAAATTATAATTTTTTGTAGTTACTATGTGGTGGACTGGTGCCTAAATTATTAGGAATTTGTGAGTAGAAAAATAACTAACACGAAATCAATATAGAAAAAAAATCACACATAACAATCAAAATTTAACGTAGTTCAATTTTGTCTACTTCCACGGATGAGAAGAAGAATAATATGTTGTAGACATAGAGATCACGAATAATACAAATATATGATATATCATGATGAATCATAAAATTCGATAGTTATACCAAAACTCAAAGTATCACAAATTAGTTTTCTTAGTTTTCTAATATCTTTATGATACTAATCTCTACAACAAAAATCTTAAAAGTTATAGAGACTACAAAAGGATTACATCTCTCTCCAAAAAAAAATTCTCTCTCATAATTCTAAAGCTAAAAAATACTTTATGTTTACATAGTCAAACATTTGGTTACCAAAAAATCTAATTATATAAGATTTCTTGCCTAAAATAAGTATTTACTTATTAAATAAACTCAATTATGACCAACAACCGGTTAGTCTAGTGAGATGAAGCACTAAATTTTTTAAGCAATGATCGGATACCAGTGATCTTAGTTCAAGCCCTGACGTTTGCGAATGGAGCAAACTGGGTTGGGAGGGTCGCCCTTACCTCTGTAGTACTTGATCTGGATTAGTCGATCAAAGATCGAATACCAGTGATTAATTCAAATAAACTCAATTATGATGTAATTTTCAATAATTAGAATTACAATAAATTTTAATTTAATTAATTACCAATTAGAATTTGAGTAAATATGTAACAACTTCAATTTTTATGTAATATCTATTAAAGTGTCGTTAGATTGATTGGGAATTATTCCCCCTACAACTAAAAATTCGTTATGGTATAAATTCCTCTTGTGTGTATTCAAAATTATTAACAGAATATGCAACAACAAATTCATTCAAAACTTCATAACTCAAACCATGGTTTGTATACCCTTGTTAAGAATTTATGAGCGGAAAAATAATTAAAATGAGATCAACATGGAAAAAATAACACACCAAAAACGAGATTTAATGTGGTTCAGTCTTGCTTGCTTATACAGATGAAAAGAAAAATAATCATTATAAATGTAGAGATTACGAAAGGTACAAACAGTGGTGGATCCATAAATATTTTTGAAGATGGGAACACATGCATTAATAACACAAAACTTTTATATGGGATGGATATAAATAAAATTATAAGGTGGGCACAATCAATATAAATAGGTAACTAACCGAAGAAAATTATGATTTCAGGATGCGCACGTGCACACCCTGAGCTAAGGGTGGATCCACCACTCGGTACAAATACATTATATCTAATGTATCCAAAAATCCAGTATCTATATCAAAACTTAGTATTCTAGACCACATTACAACTAGGGATCAATATTTGACTCACATTTAATGAGTTTTGATACATGATTTGATTGAATCGACCTTCTTTTAAAAAAAATCAAGATCAAATTAGGTTTTTTAATAGGATGGGTTTAGATTGGGTTCGAATTTAGGATGAAAAACTCGATTCAATCTAAGGTAGTATTATAATTATCCCTTACTACTCTTGATATTATTTTTCAATTAGATTTTTATTTTACCTAATAAAACTAAAAATTATATATATATATATATATATTACGAGTGAGATGTGGATTTTCATCTCAAAATTAGATTGTGTAAAACCCTCCTAAACTCAAATCGAGTTAGATATAAATAAAAATTTAATTTTCAGATTAAATTTAGATAAATTAAAAATTTGACCGGACTGGACCGGACTCATGACCGTTTCTAATTATAACCACACTCTGTAATGTTAAACACATTACGTATTCCTTCAAATATAAACAGAAGAATTTGGAAGAAAAGAGCAGTGAAGATTAGTTGTTCGAATGTAATGGTTCGTTACTGGGCTATCCCGAACTGGGTTTCGTGCCAACATCCACAAAGCTAGCAGATTGATCATCAGTGCCTACTCCACTCGCAACAGGCTTCTGAAATCCAGCATCTTCCACATTCTCCATACACATATGTCTAGCCCAAGCCTGCTCATTCGGTGCTTCTCCAACCACATGTGATTACTCATTTGCTCCGGGATATTCATCTAATGCTTCCTTAAAGGTCTTCTTACCTACCAAATTCAAATATCGTGCCAGAATCCAACACTCCCAACCTAAGTCCTGCCCGCCCTTGTCGACAAATATAATAATTTAATCTAAAATCGATGGATTTTGATTTTACTTTATCAAATTATTTTTTTTAGAAAGAAGTCGGAGTCATATGAGATTAGATTTAATTAAATTTTATATAGGATGAGGTCGGTTGGGTTTAGGTAGAGGGGTGAAAATTTTATAGCTTGACCCCGAGATAATTGCTATAATAGCACATTTTTCTATAGATTTTTAATTAGGTCTCTATTTTAAACCGGCATAATCAAATCAAATTTATATCTACAAATCTAAATTAGATTGAGTTTGGATAAGGAATTTATAATAATAAATTATATTCTTAATATTTTAAGATTCAAGATTTTTTTTAAATAATAAAAAAAATAATTATATTCGATATAATTGAGTTTAGACTTTATTTAAAAGAAACAAATCTCAATCCGAGTACGAAAATCTCTACCCTAAAAATATTTTTTTATAATTATAACACTTATTAATAATTTAAGGACTTTGAAAGATTATTAGGAAAAATATATTAAGAAAACATATGGAATTGACAACTAAGCAATTAAATCAAAGGGGTCGAAGGATAAATTACAACAAAATATGTTGCAAAGAGATAATTTCTTCAAAGAAAAGGGTCATATCTGGAAATTTCAAAAGATAAAGGACAGAAAAGAAACCCCGTCTAACAAACTGATTACCTGTCGGTCTCTGCATCGACACGAAATCAGATCCTGCTGTCAATCTATAATCCTAAAAATCTAACCGTCCAGAGACTCTTTTCGTTCCCTATAAAAGCAACCATTGGCCTTGAAGCGTCGGGTAATACGATTTTTCCAGATTTAGGGATTTCGACGCGGAACGTATGGGAAAAAGCTTCAACTCAAAGCAATTGAACCTAAAATTCTTAGCTTTAGATTTGAGAAAACTAGACGAATCAAAGGAAATTAAAGGATCAGTAGTAATTCGTTTGATCTGGCGGCAAATTTCAATTCTAAAACTGAAGAATTAGGTTTTTTTTTCTCTCTATTTAGATTTCTTTGATTTCGTTTTCCTTCGCATTTTCTTTTATAAACAATGAACGATCAGTCTCAGATGATGAATCAGCCACCGCAAATGATGATGAACACGGTCCAGGGTCAACTTCCAGTTCAGCCGCAGATGATGAATCAGTCTCATCAGTTGATGGCGTCGGCGGCTCACTCTCAGGCGATGAAGCAATTTGCGGCGGTGCAGTCGCAGCCCATAAGTTCTGGTCCTCAGATGATGACTCAGCCTCCGCGTCCGATGATGTTGAATCGAAGCTATAAGCCTTGGCAACCCCAGGAACGAAATCAAAACCCTAACCTTAGCAAGAAATTCTCTCCTTTCAATCGTAATAACAACTGGAAGGGAAAAAAAGTTTCATTCGGTAAAGATTCTTGGAAGTTTGAGAATAAGCCTTTATCCATGGGTTCTGGTTCTGCTATTTCTTCTGTGCCTGCTTCTTCCGGTAGTCAAGGATACAAACCTCCAACTCTCAACGAGCTTCAAAATCATAACCGGTTAAAAGCCAGAAAATTCTACGGTATCAAGAAGAAATTCAATAACGGCAACAACCGATTTGCTCCTTATGCTCCGCGAAATACAACTTCGTTTATAATCCGAGCAAAAAAGTCCGGTGGAATAACGTCTTTGGTGTCGCCATGCCCTGTGACGCCCGCGGTTCTTCCTACGCCAATGTTTTCACCATCAAGGGAGGTTTTGGGTGATATGGCCAAGGAAGAATGGGGTGTGGATGGTTATGGGTCAATGAAAGGGTTGATACGGCTTCGATCACCGGAAATTGGTCATGATGAAGAGGAAGACGAGGATGGGGGAAATGGTGGGGATTCAAGTGAGAGTGATGTGGAAGAACACGTGGAAGTGGAGAGGAGGTTGGACCACGATTTAAGTAGGTTTGAGATGATATATCCAAGTTATGGAGGTGATTATAACAATTCTTTGGAGAATAGAGTGGATTATCAAGATACCCATATAGCTCGGTTGGAAGAAGATAATTTGACATTAAAAGAACGGTTGTTTTTGATGGAGAGGGAATTGGGGGATTTGAGGAGGAGGTTACAGTTTTTAGAGAGGCAGAGTCAGATAGTGGAAGATGCTAATGAGGAGGTTGTGGAGAATGGGTCTGATAAGGAGAGTGAGGATGGTGGCTCTGATCTCAGGGTGGTTACCAGTGCTGCTGCTCATAGTAATGTGGAAATGCTGAGGTTTGCTGCTGAAAATACTAGAAACGTTGATGTTATGGAGGAGAATAATAATGGTGGAATGCCACGCAATGAAATTGTAATGGATGTTTTTATGGATGAGATTGCAAGAGAAAATGAGCTAAACAACGAAGGAAAGGGGAACAGTGAATTGAAGCCTCAAGATGTGAGGGAGGGAACAATTCGAGAAAAGGAAAATGATGCCAAGGGTGATGAAGCCAGAGACAGTGAGTTTGCGGCGGAGAAGACTGTTGAAGAGGACAAAAACAAGTTGAGGTGCGAAGAAATTAGCAATGAGGCTGCTGAAAACACTGACACAAAGGAGGAGGAAGTGCGTTTGTGAAGAACATTGGCGAAGGTGACTGACTGACTGGTTTAAACTTGCCCGGGGTAATGTATGAATTGGGGATATTTGGATTCTGGTTATTGGAGCGTGTAACTTCTAGATATATGCGGCCTGAGTAGACTTAGTGTAGTATAGTTCTTAGCTGTGTTTTTACATTTTCTTAGTTTTACAGGGTCAAGAGAGGGTGCATGGACTTTGCTCTCCTTTCACTGCCCTATATGCTTTTGGAAGTGGGCATCCTTTCTGGCTTTTTTTGTTTATTTGTTTCCCGCCCTCTTTTTATCATCCTTTTGGTTTGGAAAGGGATAAAAGGGGTGTGTGGGATAGGGGAGCTGTATTTGTTTAGCTGGAAAAGGGTTATCCATTAAAGTTCTTTTGTTACAGACACATGTTTGTGTTGATTTCAACTTCACTCTTTGAAAAAAAAACCCTACTAGTATGTAAGGTAAATTTGTGCTTGTTTTGCATAATGTCCTGAACTGAAACTTCTTTAACATATTTATCTATCTCGTAAGAAACTATTTACTTGTATCTCTCAGAAAAGTATTCTAGTTTGATATTATTGGTCATTCTCTTTTCCTGTTTCTAAATTAACAAAGTTACTGTCAAATTAATTGCCTTCTTCTGGGATTCAAATCATACTTGCTATTTATATTTCCATAGACATAGTTGAGATCTGATTTGCCTCGTCTTCTATTACTGAAATAATTGAAAAGAAAATTCTTCTTATGATCATTCCCCTTGTTAGCATGACTCTTCATCACATGTGCAAGTTTTAATCAGCTGTCTATGGTTGTTTGTATTTATATCTTAAAAGATAGTGTTTGTTCTATTTTTGATAATTTGATACCGCTGAATAATGCAAGTGAGGCCTGTGGCTGTGAGATGCTTTGCTTCTCTGCTAATAGGGAATTATTCTTAAGAGTTAATCGCTATACTACTTTTTGTGCATCATTGTACACATTCTCTTGTGGACAGTTCATAATGTAGTACTAAAGTTCTATGTTATCATGTTATGTTACTCGGGTGCGAGTGTTCAAAATTGTATGTTAAGTTTTTTCTCTGCTCTTCCATGTATCTGGAGTGCCCGTAGTCATACCTCATATCTCTGCCTGGACATGTGTGGGTACTTTTAAAAAAATGAAGTGTGAACGTAGCTGAAACAGTCGCAACCTATTCTGCCATCTTTTTTGCAGGTTATAAATGAACCAAAAGGTCTCATCTATGTCCAGTTTTCTTTACACCTTGAAGTAAGTGTTGGTTGGGGTCAAATTTAGCATATAACTTTTGTTTCTGAGCTGATGAATGCACAGCAGTTGCGTCATTGTGTTTTGTAGGGGAGGTGATTACGTTTGGTTATTACTATCTACCTGGAATATTCAATCCAAAAATTTTATGTACGCATGAGCTTATTCGTATAAGGAGGGCTGATTTACTAGCTAATTCATAATTAGTTGTTTGCTTGTTTATATTTTGTGTATAGAATGCACAGGAGGATCAGAAAGGGTTAAAAAAAAACTAGCATCTTCGTTAGGACTGTAAATGAGTAGAATCAAGTTTGAGTATTTTGAATTTGATTTGACTCAAAAAGTTCAAAGCTAAGTCAATTCGAAAGCTCACGAGCTTAAAATTATCAAGTTTACCTCGAACTCAAAATCAAAAATTGAATTTTGACTCGAGCTTGAAAAAGATTTCAATTCGAAGTATTCTCAGACTTAGCTCGATTAAAGCTCGAAATCAAACTAAATTCAAGTTCGAACTCATGATCGAATATGAACCGTAAGTGTAAGAAAACCTTGTATTACATCTTTTTAAAAATACAATGTATAAATGATAATATTATTAATAATTTAATTTAATTTAAAAATTAAAAATTTAACATATTATTTTTTTTAATTGTTCATGAGTTTCTCGAGTCAAGTTCATTTGAGAAACTCATCAAACTTGAATTTTTCGTAATCTATCTGTCTTGCTTCATTTGCAGAATCTTTTTTTCCGTTGAGCTGTAAGCTGTGGAGGACTAGTTTACTTACACTATTATTTAAGTCTTACCTGGATAATAAAATCTCCTTTGTAGTATTCGATGACTGTGTCTTGAAACTAGAGTAGCAGTGTTTTTAAGGAGTTTATCCATCATGGATCATGTTAGGTTTTCAGATTGTCTGGTTATTTCATGAATTTCCAGAAGCATGAGCATTTGAAAGTGAATGATTACTATGGTTTAAAATTGAGACGCAATGTTTATGAATGAAGTATATTTTCTTTCCTTCTCTTTTCTTTCCACTCAACTTGTTGGCACTGGCAATGCCAATATAGCCTTTTCCTTTACAGTTTGGCATTGGATTCCACTCAGATGCGAATGGTTTCACTTTGATTATCAAGACAAAACGGTAATATTTTATACGGAACACTGAAATTATTTCATTCAAAAGAGAGGGGGGAAAGGGTTTCTATATATTTGGTAAATCCGACCAACTTAGCAGGCGTTCGAGAAAGATCAAATTTGAAAGGAATGTTTGACATTTGCTGATGTAACTGATTGTTCATTTATTATAATATTATATTTAATTCTTATCTTATTCATTTAATCGTAATTTTAAATAGTTAAATAAATTTACATTTTTTAATTATATATTCAACTAATTTAATTCAAGGAATTCCTCTATCATTATCATACCTCTCATCAATCTACTTCACCAATACCATCTCCATGATTGCTTTATGAAGGCCAACAAATCACTGAAATTGTGGTAACAAAAGTGTTGAGATTTGGCAATTCACCGATGCTTTGATAGTACCAGAAATCTTGTGGCCGATTAAGCTCAACCATGTTAACTCGACTCGAGTTCTTAACGAGCTGAAACGAGCTACTCGATATTCGACTCGAAAAGCTCGTGAGCAGCTCGAAAATATAATATATTAAGATTTAATTTTTTAAAAAATAAATTAATAATAATAATAATATTAATATTTATGTATTGCTTTTTTTTAAATACAGTAAGATTTCATGTATTTAAGGTTCATGTTCGAGTTTGAGTTTGAGGCTTCAATCGAGTTAAGTTTAAGATTTTTTTTTTCATTTCGAGCCTTTTCGAGCTGCTCACGAGCTTCAGTTCAGGATTTCGAGTTCAAGTCGAGCTTGAAAATTTTAAGCTCGCGAGTTTTCGAGTCGAGTCGAGTCGAGCTCCATTTCAGAATTTTCGAGTCGAGTCGAGCTCAGCAATACTCGAGCTCGACTCGACTCGTTTACACCCCTAATTGAGCCACTGAGTTGGTTCAAAGCTTTTAACTCGTGTAACTCACTGGGATTTCACCTGTAAAGTTAGTTTTAAACAAATGCAAACATTCTCTCTTGGTTAAATTGCCCTCAAGCAAGTACTTGAGATTAGATAAGAGTGCCAGAGAAAGCATTAAATATATGCTCAAGCTGGTCCAAGAATCTTAGTTGAGGGGGTAAGGTGCCTTCCAATGCATTCCCTATCAAAACTCCAGTTTTGTAACTTTCCACAGCCAAATGGAATTACACCTTCGAAGGTATCTTTCACCAAGAACCGCAAGTCTATGAAATAATATCTCAGCAATGGACCCCTGAAACTGTTGTTGTATGCATTAAAGATGTTGAGGAACTTAAGGATGGAAACGTCCGGCGGGAATGCTGCTGCATTGAACGCGTTGTGGCTTATGTCACTCAAGAGTTGTAATTTGAGTTAGGTGAAAAAGGGCTGGTTGGAGAGGCCCACCAAAGTGGTTTCGGCTCAAATTCGAGTGGACTAATCCGGTCGAAAATCTGATATCGGGTTGATTTTAGCATATAGAAGAAGAATGTGAGATAGAGAGGGTGAAGGAAGTAAACCAGCGTGCTTATGATGCCCCTTGCCGACGGCGAAGGGGTATAAAGTAAAGGATGAAAATGTTAGGCTTTTAGTTTTAAGGAAAGAGCAAAGAAGTAAAAGAAAGTTGCATCTTTTTCTTTCTATGCGGGTGATGATTTGTTTCAAGCCTAAATTGTTATGATTTATAACTACCAAGACTTAAATTATTCAGATTTAAAGGTTCAATTAAGGATTTGTAAATATCGGAGATTAAATATGTTACTATAACAATTAACAAATCATGTCAACAATTCAATTAATCATTTAACGTGACTGGCTAAAATAATCTTATTCTATAACTTTGATGACGAAATTGAGAAAATATCAATCGAGAGTGACTAGAATAAAAATAGTTGACTACTATCAAGATAGCTTACCCTAATAACAGTAAGCATGGGACATCAAAGGTTTGTTCCCTTTCGATTATTTGAACATCCATGGTGATTTCCTATTATATATATATACAAAATTGAAAGGCAAAAGCATACTTCATTTTAACCATGAAATTCAAAGCCAAAGTTGAGAAAGTAACAAAAGAAAAGGAGCAAAGAAAAACCAGAAGAGGAGGCTCATCCAAATTGAGAACCTGCACTTAAACAATCAAAAGAGTAAGAGATATGGCAAGTCCCACAAATATTGTATAGGTACACAAGGAAAGGAAACCACATCCATGATCCCCTTACTACTAAAACTACAACACCACTTGTTCAAGAACAAATTCACACCAAAATCCAGAAATCAGCATTCTCAGCCCAACAACTTATCTTCTACCTGGAAAATAGAGTGTAAAAGGAAAAAAAAGATAATGTAAAATACTGATACATACATGAACTTATATATAAATTCTTACTGCTTCCCTTGCATTTCCATTTATATCCTCATTTCCTTTTACTGTCTTTTCTTCACTCTTTCTATCCTGGATCAGTCAATTGCCATAGGTTGAGTCATGCAACACCTGAAGCGGGCCTTACGAACAGTTGTTAGTATATCTGTTTCAGCAATCTCAAGCATCTTCACGATATCAGTGAAGGGAGGACGGACTTCTGGGTCGGTGTCCCAGCAACGCATCATGATCTCCCTCAGCACTGGGAGGCAATCATTTGGAATAACTGGCCTAACACCCTTATTCACCACAGCAAATGCTGCCTGCACCGCAGTCATGTTCTGGAAAGGAAGCAAGCCTGTGATAAGCTCCCAAAGGACTATTCCAAAACTATACACATCTACTTTTTGCGTGTACGGTCTATGCTGTATCATCTCTCTGTAAAAACAAAAGATAACTACTAATGAACAAAAATGTATAAATTACTTAACAGATACACTTCAGACACCAATTCAGTCGGTCAACTAATGAATACAGATTCATGTAAAGGAAAATTCTGTGAAAACTAATGATAAACTAAATGTCAAAACAAATTCAGACTTCAACAAATAAAGATGTGATTATACAAAAAGAAAATATATTTTCCTGATGGTTTCAAACAGAAAACTTAAGAATATACAATTGCAAGCTCAAAAGGCAAAAATAGAAAATATCAGAACCTTAACAGCAAGGCTTACTAACATAATTCACAAATCACAACAAAAGAATATCAAAGATAATCTGCAAATCATTATAGTCAATTAAACAAATGGGTAGGAAATCAACACAGAAATAATGCAGAGCCTTATGGGTTTTTCTTTTAAAAATATCCAAGTCCATGCAAATTAGCAGTAATCATCTAAACAAAGATGGAAACTGCCACCAATATTTTTTAACAAAAAGATATAAATGGTATATTGCAAAATGGGTAGAAACTTGAACATATATGGTTCAAAAAGACTTACGGAGCCATCCAACGGTACGTCCCTGTCTCTGGTGTCATGCCCTCAGTCTGCACCTCAATACGTGCTACTCCAAAATCTGCAATCTTTATTGATTTATCAGCAGCTATTAGAAGATTATCTGACTTCAAATCCCTGTGAATAAACCCAAGCCCGTGCACATAGGCCATCCCTCTCGCAACATCCAATGCCTGCTTAACTGCCAATTTCAATGGCACAGCACGATTCTGCCTCCTGGTCAGAAACTGTCGAACTGAGCCACCCTTTGCATACTCTGTCACAATGCACCAAACCATAGGTTTGCGACAAGCCCCAATAAATCGCACAATATTTGGATGCTTAAGTGTTGCAAGCATCATCATAACTTCCTGCTGAAATTGTTGTTCCATAACTTGTGCCTTCTCTGGGCTATTCTCTGGCCTTTCTAATATCTTAATCGCAACATCCTCACCATTATATGTACCTCTATATAACTTCCCAAAGGCTCCTTGAGCAAAAGCTGAACCCATGTTAAGTTTCCTTAAATCAATTGTCCACTCATCATAATTCGGCAATCCCTCAGTTGGATATCTATTATCCATCAATGCCTGCGCTAATGCATCATCAGTCAGTGCATGGCCAACTTTACCAGGACGAATCACGCTCTGTCCCACAGACACGGAGTAATTGTGACGGTTAGTAGGCTTAAGACCAGGGTGGCTTAAAATGTGGGTTAGAGAATCATTAGAACCGACGCTACTGTTTTCAACTGACATGGACACAGACCCACCAGCATTACTTGTCTGTAAACTGTCAATAGACATGTTAGTTCCCTCTCCAAGCTTTTGGTAAAACCCTTGAGTAAAATCATAGTAATTGTTATCATTGTTGTTGGTTCCTCCGATAAGTCCTGTAAATTTAGGACCCTCAACCATTTTCCCAATCATGAATGAAACCCCAAGTGATAAAAACTAGGATAAGCAGATTTCCTCAGCCCAAACTCTTGATACTCATTTGATGGCACAATCTCTACACGACCTGCCCTAAAACCAACAAAAACGAAAGCCTGTGAGTTTCCGTCTGACATTAAGTGCTAAAGATTATGGAAGAGCACTGATCAGGTTTTATGACATAACTAAAGTTGATAGACAGAATCAAAGAAATACCCAATCCATCAGCAAGCAAAGGGAGGTAAGTAAATATTTGGAGATTTAAGAGGATAAGTATATCATCAGACAGCCGGGCCCTTACATTTTTCTCTTGGGGTTTGTTTCTAATTTAAATTATTTGAGAAAGGAGATACTTCAGAAATGATCGTTCATGAGTTTAGCTTTAAAAGAATCGAACTAAGAAATAAGGCAAACCGTATTTAGTTAGGAAAAATAGAACCCTTGGAACCGCTAACAAACCCTAGAATTGCAATTACTGAGGATCCCGGATTGCTTAAGCTGAATCGAAGCTCATGAGCCAAAATAACCGTTCAAAAAACAGTCAAACCCTCAAAGTACCAGCAATAGAATGAATTTTAGACCAACCAAACACAAATAGAAAACCAAATTTCTTACCTTTAAATTTTATACTCAAGTTCTACATCCTTCCCAGTCCAAAATTTTCATTTTCTAATTGGAAAACCTAAATTATCAAAAAGAATAACATATTCCAGCAAGAAGGCATAAATCAGATTATGAAAAGACGTTGAAATAGAAAGAAGCTCGGAGAATTGCAGAAAAGCAGCCAAAACTTTTGCAGGACAAGTGATTAAGAGAGTGGATTTAAGGGGATATATAAAATGCATACCTGAAATTTATTATTAACAAAAAGAGTAGACGGAATTTGGATAACGACTGATCCAGATGCTTAATTTAATAAATTCATCAAATGCCTCCAGCAAGAAGAAGTGCAAGGCTAAGAAGACGAGCAAAATATTTAGCAAACAAAAAAGAAAAGGAAAAGAAAGAGCAGAAGACAAAGACTGGACCAAAAATCCCAGCAAAGACGAGAAGAAGAAGATGAAGAGCAATGTTTGCTTCTCGATTACTTTCAAAGTCTCGTTTTTATTATGACCAGACCTCCCAAGGCTTTTTTACCCCACTGACACCGTTTATTTTTATTTTTACTTTTCTAACACCGTTCGACCAATATTTCCAAAACTAACACCCTTTCTGCTGAGTTGGCAAAGGCGCGTCCCCGGGGGCGCGCTTTACCCGTGTTTTCGCTGATTTGGATGCCACGTGTGAAAGACGCGTCCCCGGGGACGCGCCTTTGCCATATCAGCAGACACGTGTGGAAGGCGCATCCCCGGGGACGCGCCTTCCATTAAATGTCATTAATGCTCCCATCCGTTTTTCCTAACTACCCCTCCTCCTCCCCTATATAAACCCCCTCAACCCTCACTCATTCTTCACACCAAAATCATCTTCTCCTCTCTTATATAACTCAAATTCTCCAACTATTTGAGTTTTAAATTTGTTATTAGTGGTAAGAAATTTATTTTTATGTTAGTATTTTTTTAAATAGTTATTATTTTTTATATTAATATATTTATGTAAAATTATTTTATTATTAAATAATATTTATATAATTATTATTTATTTAGAATTATTAATTTTTTTGCTAATTATATTGTTTTGTCTACAGTTATAATGGAAAACGAAATGCTGTTGCGATTGGATAATGATCATATCTCCAGACATTTTAGCGATATGGTAATATTTTTTATAATTAATGTTAATATTTAAATTTATTTTTATTTTAAAGTTATTATGAATTTATATTAATTTTTACTTTTTATAATATATATTATTTAGGATGCTGATCGTATTTTAGAAACTTTTATTAAAAATCCACGTATACCGACACCGGAACGTATTTTGCCATATTTGGCTTCTGCTGGGTTCGGGTATATTGCAACAATTATAGGCGGTTGCAAACTCGAACCTGTCCTAATTTCTGCACTGATTGAGAGGTGGAGGCCCGAGACACACACTTTTCACCTTCCATGTGGAGAGGCAACAATTACGTTGGAGGATGTCTCTATGCATCTGGGGCTTCCCGTCGACGGAAATATGATGTGTGGTATGGCGGATGGTGATTGGCAATCAATGTGCATTGATTATCTTGGAGCTGCTCCGCCAGAGTTTAATGGAGGTAGAATAGCTTTATCTTGGTTGAAAGCTAATTTTGAGGTTTTAAATGAAAATGCTTCAGAGGATCAAGCAAAGGCATGTGCTCGGGCATATATTCTACGAATAATTGGAGGAATATTGATGCCCGACAAATCTCGCAACCAGGTGCATTGTATGTGGTTGCGGCATCTGATCGATTTTGATGAAGCTGGAAGATATAGTTGGGGTGCTGCAGTTTTGGCATTTCTCTTTAGAGAAATGTGTCGGGCGACGAATTATAAGAAAACTGCTATCGGTGGATGTCTTCTGCTTCTACAATCATGGGCGTGGTTCCGCATGCCTTTCTTATGCCCGATCGTGAATGAACCATACGTATTCCCCTTATTGTTGAGGTAATTTTCGAACTAAATTTTGATTTAAATATTTTCAATTAAATATGGTGATATTTAGTTTATATTATATTTCATAGGTGGTCGATGAAAAGAAAGGACCATAAAAGTACCTACTGTTTTAGAGGAAATTCGTTTACTTATTGATACGAAAGCTGGGTCTGAGGTATGTTTTTAAATTTGTTTAATTATTAATATTTTAATTTAAAATGTTAGATATAATTAGAATATTTTATTTATTTGAATTGTATATTTATATTTCAGTTTCAGTGGATACCTTATGCGAGCGATGAAGTGAAAGCTTGCATCCCACCCCACCTTAGAGGGTCATTAGAGGTATGGATATCGGTTATACCTCTTATATGTTATGCTATTATTGAGTGGCATCCAGTTGATCGCGTGCTCCGTCAGTATGGTTGTACGCAATATATTCCTGGAGCTCCTAGAAATTTAGACGACGTGCATAACATAGATAGACGGGGAAAGAAAGATGTTAACTGGGTGGTGAGACACAGAGATTGGATTGCGCTTTGGGAGAACCGATATACACTGTTGGCCCCTCGACAATACGCTGAAACTGGTCATATGGTTACGGATAACTATATGGACTGGTTTAATGAAAATGGGAAGCCGTTTCTACTTTCGGCGGAAGCACGAGGGTTAACATTCCTAGGCGTCGAGAAAGACGTCAACCGTCTCAATATCATCGTCCCCCGACGCGTGGACGGAGAGAAGGCGCTACCGGTTCTGCATCAGTCCCACCACAACATCCTTATTCGTCGATGCCGCAGGGGTACATGCCCAGCCCTCCACTTCATATGCCAAGCCCACCAGTTTATATGCCATCTCCGCAGGGTTACATTCCGAGCCCGCAGGGTTACATTCCTAGCCCGCCAGGTTACATGCCTAGCCCGCCAGGTTACATGCCTAGCCCGCAGGGTTTTATACCATATGGAGGTGCATATACGACTATGTTTAATGATCCAGCATATGCTTCATATGCATCTTATTTGGCTGGTGGTGCTTCTCCGCAGACACCTCAATCTTCATCTGGATCACATACATCGATGCCAATGTTTCCACAGTTTCCACAGTTCCCGGGGAGCGGTGGGATTGTTACTAGCACTCCTCCAGGGTCGTTATTTTATACAGGCCCTTCAGCCCCTTCAGCGTCATCTGCACCAAATGAAGAAAATGCTGCTGATGATGATAGTGAAGATGAGGAGACTGAAGAACAAGTTCCACGAAGAAATCCTCCACGAAATAGGCAACCACCGCCATGTGGAACTCATTCGAGACGACGACATCGGTGATCCAGTTATATTTAATGTTATTTAAATAATTAAATTTCAGAATTTATGTAATTTGGTTATGTTATTTAAATGTTTCATGGTTGTTACATACATATTTTTTTATGTTATTTTTTATTCACATTTAACATTAAATGTTTGATAAATGTTTTTAAAATACAAATTATATTATTCGAAATTTAAAATAAAAATAAAAATAATATTATTCAAATTTAAATTTAAAATATAAATTATAGTATTCGAAATTTAACATTAAATTTAAACTTAATATTCCAATTGTATTCGAAATTAAAAGTTATATTCCAATTATAGTTCACAATACTTAAATTGAAATTAAAGGACTCCATACATATGATTTTATCATTAACATATATATTAAAACGTATACATTAAAATCAATTTATGTTGAGTTCATCGATCGACGTAATCAACCAAGAGGGGGGTGAATTGGCAATTTATTCAATGTCACATTTCAATGCTCATTCCATACAATTTCAATGTCACAATCAACTTATCACTTCACATTTATTCAATTTATCAATAACATTTTATCTAATTTATTCAAACTTCACATAACGTTTTAATTTAAGTTATTCTTAACTTGTTGAACATTCAAAAGAAGTTAAATTTAAGTTATTCCCCGAGGGACATGAGTGACATAATAGGGCAATGATAATATTCTCTGACGAAATAATGGAAGGCGCGTCCCCGGGAACGCGCCTTCACGTGAATAGTGAAATAATAGGTACTGATATATCTAGTGACCCCGAGGGACATGAATGACATAATAGGGCAATGATAATATTCTCTGACGAAATAATGGAAGGCGCGCCCCCGGGAACGCGCCTTCACGTGAATAGTGAAATAATAGGTATTGATATATCTAGTGACCCCGAGGGACATGAATGACATAATAGGGCAATGACATGAATGACATGAATGACATTCGCATTTGGACTACAAAAATTATGTTGATCCCGTATACCAACTTTCACAAGTTTTCAAGGTATATGAATTTGAGTTTCCGCCCATAGGAAACGAAAGAGACCCAAATGAGATTCAAACTTGGCTTACAATTGTCCCAGATCCATTGCTATTGAGGGACTCAGGTCGTCCAAAATCTACTAGAATACATTGTGATATGGATATTCGGGAGAAGTCAACAGAACAAAAACGATGTGGGCATTGTAGAAACATCGGGCACAATAGAAAAAAATGTCCAGCTCTGTTATCATCATATAACCGTTAACTCTTATGTAATTAAAGTTTTTAAATGAATGTTTTTATTTCTAATAATTTAATGTTATTGCATTTATATAATTTGTCAATGTATGTACACCTAAATAATTTTTTTTAACTTTTAAATACATAAATATATTTAATATATTTATTTAATATAATATTTATATTATATTTTTTACATTATAATCGAAACATTTTACATAATATAATCGAAACATTTTACATATATATTATTAATTTATAATAATAATAAAAATAAACTATTTATTATAAAACAAAATACGTGTCTGCTGAGTTGGCAAAGGCGCGTCCCCGGGGACGCGCCTTTCACACGTGGCATCCAACTCAGCGAAAAACCGGGTAAAGCGCGCCCCCGGGGACGCGCCTTTGCCAACTCAGCATAAAGGGTGCTAGTTTTGGAAATATTGGTCGAACGGTGTTAGAAAAGTAAAAATAAAAACAAACGGTGTCAGTGGGGTAAAATCACCACCTCCCAACACCAGTCGTCACTATTCTCCCCTACTTTTCCACTCGCCTAAAATACACGTGTCTGTAAAAGCCTGTATTTCTTTTTCTTTTTTTCGAGGACTCCGTCCTCTAATAACGCGCGTGTCCTTCCTTCGCTTTTCTTTTCTTTTCCCCCGAAGCATTTTTTCTCGCGATTTTTCCTTTTAATCTAGAAGCAATTTTTGAGGCGTGAAAAATTAAAACATAAGAAGAAATTTCAATTTTCCATAAAAATGGAAGAATTTTCTAAGATCAGTTAGAGGAAGTGAAAATGGAAGGGATAAATGAGAAAGAGGAAGCACAAGAAGGTCCAGGTCCTGGTTCGGCTGAGATGAACGTAGTACGTGATTGTAAATTGTAACTGTATTAATCGGATTTGGTTAACGTAACTGTGAACTT